TTATACGGCGTTTACATTGGCCGAAAATGGCTCATTTTGGTCAAAAATCGAAAATGAGTATCGAATGGCTCATTCTTGCATATAAAATTTCAAGCACAAAAATGAGCAATTTTCTCATATTCTGTATGAATGACGTTCGAATGCATTCCACATACGTTCCAAATGCAAAGGAATCCATTGAACATACCCTAAATGAAAGCTCTTCATGGCATTATGACAGTTTGAAAAAGCTGTTTTTAACATATTTGCAAAAAAAGGTAAACAAATGTTTGGTGGTTGCATTTTCTTGAAAACGATGCACTGCTGTTTAGAACTTTTACTTCCCAAAAAGTAATTAATCGAAGTTAAAAATATGTTTTAAGTTTCTAATGTAAGGTTTGAAGGCATATTTAACCTTCATGCAAAATTTTTTTGGCACATGAGCCATTTTCGGCCAGTGTAAACGCCATATTTGAAGTTTAAAAATTATATAGACGAATTTATTCATAAAAACGCAACTGAGTTTTGGCCTCAAATACCCCACACTACTCCAACCCAACCTAACCAACCCAATCTAAACATTTCATATTATATGAAAAAATAAATTTTTAAAAAGAAAAACGTTAATTATTTATTATACTTATTTATTATACATAAATCCTTTAAAATTGAAAGGAATTGTACATCAAGAGTTTTATTCATATTTTTATTCATTTTCTACTAACCAAATCTATTAAAAACATTTCACCAAATTCTACATTTTTCTTCTTTCTTATTCATGTCACTACCCAGAGGACACTCATAAACCTTAGAGAAATCTTCCATATTACTTAGTGTACCCAAAACTCTATATTTGTCCATAGGGTGTTCATCGATTAGTTGTTTCCAATAGTGTTCTTCTTTATACGACGCACAATATAGTTGTGCAAATCCTACAAAGAACAATTGTTCTGGTGATAAATTTAGACCAAGCATGTCTTCATCTTTAAATGTTGTCACCAGGTCACCTTCCTTATTCAATTCCTTCATATATTTGCGGTACGAATTAAGTGCGGCACGAAGTCCACCATTATCTGCTATATTCTCATCTTTGGTTAGATTTCCGTTAATTTTGCGATTTATTTCTGGTATTAAATAGTCATTAAAATGTTGAACATAACAATCTGTGCGATTATCAAATACTTTTTCAGTTTTTTTCGTCCACCAATCGCGTTCATCACCATTGCTATCATAGTGTGCTCCAACTGTATCAAAACCGTGTGTAAACTCATGTCCCACAAGATATCCTAATGTACCGAATTTCAAAGAATTTGGCCAGGATTTATGATAAGCTGGCGGATGCATAACATTTATTGAGTTGTCGATATTATAGTAAAAAGCATTGATTTGCTTGCCTATCATTAATTCTAGAGGCTTTGTTTCATTACGAATGTCTTTATTATGGAGACCAAGATATCGGTTCATAAATGTTCTAAATCTCTTTAAATTTATATTATTCGGCTCATAGTTGTCTGGATCAAAAGTTAGGCTATTTATTTCATGAGACGTTTAGACATAACCGGGTCATCGAAATTACCAATTCGTGCTTCTATTGTGGATTCTTTTAACAAAGCTTCAGTGCGTGTTTTTTCATCTAACCATTCTGCTTGTTCTATTTGTTGGCGTACACTTATCTGTATCTCCTGAACCAATGTGGTAATTTCAGTTTTTATTCCTTCATTAAAATATTTCTAAATATGAATACTCGTAATTTTCATTATCTGTTATAGAATTATTTTATAGCATTTATAAACTCGGTGTCACTTACCTCTAAATAAAGCTTATCGATCAAAAATCGAAAAGTATACTGTACAAGGTGAGATGAAAAAACTGCAACCAACTTCAGACTGCTGTCATTTCTAAACCGCTCGTCCCACAGCTGTCAGATTTATTCTAGTGACGCTCATTTATTGTTTACAAGCGCACAAAAGCATTTTGGTGGGATTTTTCAGAAAACGTTATTTCTGTGATGAATTCAGCTGTAGTGTGATTCTTGCCATTTGCTGGAACAAAGTGGCTATGTTAGAGGCCTCCGCATTTAAAGTGTTATGTTTTGTGTTCGTACCATTCGCTCGTTAGTCTGGTAGCGTAGCCCGAGTCAGAGTGGACGAAAAAACAGCAACATCGGCGGAAATGGTTCGAAGTGAAGACGATTGAACGAATTCCCGTCGCAGTGGAGAAAATGGTCGTGAGCTTGAACATATGCAATTTGCATTCAGGCAAATTTGAAAATGGGCTTGGCTAAGCCATTGAAGTTCCAAAAAGAGCAAGATCTTACTGATGCGCAAAAAAAAGTTAGACTCGAAAAAGCTAAAGAGTTGCTTCGCTTGGCCGAAAGTGGTGAACTGCCGAATTTGGTTTTCTCCGATGAGAAACCATTCGTTATCCAGCAGATTGTAAACAAACAAAATGATCGTGTTTACTTGCCAGAGAGGTCAGCTGAAAATTTGCAACTTCGGTTGGCCACCACAACTCAAAAGCCGGCCATGGTGATGGTGTGGGCCGCCATAACAGCCGATGGTCGCTCGCCGCTTGTATTCATCGACCGTGGGGTCAAAATAAATG